CAAAACAACCGGATCCGGACACCCACGTTTTGCCTGAGACTTCCTCACGAAAATGATGAAAATGCGGCTGCGGCCTAGGCGCGACGAGGGGGCCGCGCACCAGGGGCCCCAACAATAATTATTCTTTAGAATAAATAATGTTCAACAACAACAACAACAACAACAACAACAACAACAACAACAACAACAACAACAACAACAACAACAACAACAACAAGAATAATCAGTTTCAGACAGTTCGCTCTTACCTGCTCGAATGTCATTCAACACGTATTTCCCACACAATCGACACCCGCCCTCTTCGTCTTCGATCGCACCCCGTACCCCCTGTGGGAAGCATATACTTCTTCCCTGCAGGCCAAGCCCTGGCAAGCGGCAGGGCGGCCACGGACCGTCGGCCTGGCCAGCGGCAACGCTGACCAGCGGCAACCCGACCCCAAGAGGGACGGACCAGGGACCGACCATGACAACGACGACGACGACGACGACGACGACGACGACGACGACGACGACGACAGTAGGGACGAGTAGGGGGAGGAGGAGAACGAGGAGGACGAGGACGAGAAAGAGGAAGAGGAAGAGGAGGAGGAAGAGATGGAGGAGGAGGACGACGACGACGACGACGACGAGGAGGAGGAGGAGGAGGCGGAACGGAGCGAGAGAGGTAGGAAGAATACGAGTATCGTTTAACCGATCCCCATCCCCACCGGCGTGGCCCGGGCCCCGCTGACCGATTTACCCCCCTGGATGGGAATATAAGCCGACCCCTTCGGAATTCGAGGGCCTGCCGGGCCCCGGGGGGTCGGCTGGGGACGACGACGACGACGACGACGACGACGACGACGAAGACGACGACGACGCCGATGACGACGACGACGACGACGACGACGACGACGACGCCGATGACGACGACGACGACGACGACGACGACGACGACGAGGCCGATGACGACGACGACGACGACGACGACGACGACGACAATGACAGCAAGGGGGGGAGGGAGGAACAGGGGGAGGAGGGAGCGGGGAGGGAGGGAGGGAAGGAGAGGAAGGAGGCGAAGGGAAAGAGCGAGAGAGGGAGAGCACGAGAGAGGCAGAGAGAAAGAGAAATAGGAAGAGAGAGAGAGAGACAGAGAGAGAAAGAGTGAGAAAGAAGGGGCGCACAATGCAGGGCCACAGAGGGCAACGACGGGGCCACTGAGGGTAGCACCAGGGCCACGAGGGGCAGCGAGGGGGCCACAAAAAACGACGACGGGGCAACGAAGGGAATGCATATGGGGCCACGACGGGTGCGAACGAGCGGGGGCCACGACGAACATACGTACGTGGGGCCGCAGGGGGCACGGACGGGGCCACGAAGGGCAACAACGGGGCCACGAAGGGCAGCGAGGGCGCCACGAACGGCGACAGTGGGGCCATGACAACGGGCGCGTGCGAGCGGGGGGCACGAAGAGCATAGGATGCGGGGCCTGCGACTCGCGACTATCTTTGCACTCGTCCCGGTGGAGGCGACCGACCGTCGCAGAACCCGTTGGAATCCGAGGCGGCTGGGTGTTCCCAGGGGTCGTGTCGCCAGTGGGTTGTGTTGGACGGTCGGCAAAATCCTCTCTGTCTTCTCCCTGCCCCTCACCCTGCGGCTCGCGACCAATTTCGCACTCTTCCCGGTGCAGGTGACTAACCATCGCAAAATCCCTTGGAATTCGAGGCGGCTGGGTGTTCCCAAGAGTCGTGTTGCCAGTGGGTTGACTTGGACGGTCAGCAAGGTTCTCTATGTTTTCTCCCTGCCCCTCCCCCTGCGACTCGCGACTATTTTCACACTCTTCCCGGTGGAGGCGACTGACCGTCGCAGAAATTATCGGAATTCGAGGCGGCTGGGTGTTCCAAGGGGTCGTGTTGCCAATGGGTTGCGTTGGACGGTCGGCAGGGTCCTCTCTGTCTTCTTCCTGCCCCTTCTCCTGTGGCTCGCGACCCATTTCGCAATCTTCCCGGTGTAGATGAACGACCATCGCAGAAGTCTGTTGGAATCCGAGGCGGCTGGGTGTTCCCAAGGGTCTTGTTGCCAGCGGGTTGTGTTGGACGGTAGGCAGAGTCCTCTATGTCTTCTCCCTGCCCCTCACCCTGCGACTCGCGATTATCATCAGATTCTTCCCGGTGGCGGCGACTGACCGTCGCAGAGTCCGTTGGAATCCGAGGCGGTTGGGTGTGCCAAGAGCTCGCGCTGCCAGCGGGTTGTGTTGGACGGTCGGCAAGGTAATCCGGTCCTCCCCCTGCGATTCGCGACTATCCTCGCGCTCTTCTCGAGGTATCATGGGCAGGGCGGGAGGAGAAAAGTCAGTCTCAGGGGAAACGCCTTGCGTAGGCGGGGCGCCAGCCCACCCGTCGGCGCGCTGGGCCCGCGTCGCGGTCATGCCGCCGGGCAGCTTTGTTGGACAACCGCGCAAGCCAGGCTGGCCGCGAGACTGGCCGTTGGGCTGGCAGTCGGGCTGGCCGCGGGGCTGGCGGTCGGGCTGGCCGGCGGGCTGGCCGCGGGGCTGGCAGTCGGGTTAGCCGTGGGGCAGGCCGCGGGGCAGGCAGTCGCGCTGGCCGCAAGCCTGGCCGCGGGGCCGGCCGCGAGGCTGGCAGTCGGGCCGGCCACGGGGCTGGCCGACGGGCTGGCCGTCAGGCGGGCCGTGGGGCTGGCCGTGGGCCAGGCCGCGGGGCTAGCGGTCGGGCTGGCTGGGGGGCAGGCCGCCGGGCTGGCCGCGGTAGCCGCGCTCTGCCGCGGCGGCGCCAGCCACCGCGCCCTCCGCCGCCGCCGCCGCCGCCGGCGAGGAGCCGGCAGCGGCAGCGGCAGCGGCAGCGGCAGCGGCAGCGGCAGCGGCGACAGCGGCCGTGGCGCCGGCCACGGCGCCGCCGGCCGCCGCCTCCGCCGCGTCGGGCTGGCCGCGGGGCTGGCCGTGGGGCACACCGTGGGGCTGGCAGTTGGGCTGGCCACGAGGCTGGCCGACGGGCTGGCCGTCAGGCTGACCGCGGTGGCCCGCCACGGCCGCGGCGGCAGCCGCCACGCCAGCGCCGCCACGGCGCCCGCGGCGCCCGCGGCGGCCGCAGCGCGGGGAGCGCCGACGGCGCCAGCGGCGCCAGCGCCGGCGGCGCCAGCGCGGGCGGCGACCGCAACGCGAGCCGCCCAAACGGCCGCCCGCTGCCGCCGGCGACGCGCCGCGGCGGGCTCCATCGGCGTCGGGCGAGCCCGCACCTGGCCAGGGGCGTGCTCGAGCCCTGACCCCGGAGGGAGGAACACCCCAGGGAAACGGCTTGAGCCAAAGGGGCTACGGACTGGTGGGGATACTGGAAACGTCAACAATTACTACGCAACCAACCGCTGCCTACATGGGACACCTCCAGTAACGAGCATCACAGACAGACCACTCAGACACTTCACGACGCAGCAGCTGATTGCTTTCCCATCGACGATCTCAGTCCGCGCCCAGAATACCTTACTACGGATACGAAGGATTTTACTAGACTTCGTCGACATGCAGTACCAATCCTGAGACCCGACCGACGTACTACTACGAGCACCATGCTTCAAAAGCTTAATCAAGACATCGATTAGATCGGCGGCAAGCCTAGGGGGAAGTGAGAAGGAGAAGGCCTTCTCATAATGCTCGGAAGTCCTCAGGCCTTCTGAGAAGTTGTCTAAGCCTTTTCCGAAGACATATAAAACCTCTCAAAGGCACCAGGGTTTCTGAGAAGTCCCGCCGCCTTCTGAGAAGGCCTTCTCCTTCTCACTTCCCCCCCTCGCTCGCCGCTGGTCAAAAGCTTGATCAGGACATCGATTTCTACCTCGCTGGCAGACCCAATGCCTATCACATTCACAAGCCACACCTCGCACTATACACAGCAACAACCGATCCCAGCACACAGCGGTGAACAGTCAGCGCGGATTTCTCTACACAGGAAAAACACACCACTGACACACCAAGTACGCCAGGAAAAGGGCAAGCCACATTGCAGCACGATCCGCATCATTCCAACACCTCCACCACTTACTTGCACGAGCACAGGGCGGCATCGAAATATGCCCAAGCATCTCTGCGTTACAGCCCTACCACCAGGAAGAGAGCAACCAAGGTTCAGCCTGTGCCATACTTTACAGACGGCCTCGGCATTGCACTTGAGAGTGACCAGCAACAAGGCGACAAATCCACCAAACGCTTCGAACGACGAGAAGAAGCGACTATCACAGAGAACGAAGGCGTTCAAAGTTCTACAACGACGCATTACCTACGCCAATCACGCAGGCGAATCTCAACTACGTCATCGCACTACCACACACTACGACATTCAGCAAGAAAGTCGAACGGAGGAAACAACCAGGACTTGACCGCATCACTACTGACCTACTCAAGTCGGCCCCCAGCAGTACAGCAAGGCACGTACACACAATGCTTAACCAGGCCACACTGACTCAGCAAGAATCTCTTCTACGGGAGCACGGCACAGCTAGACCACTAAACATTAAGGTCAAGGGACAACCAGCTAAGCCATCCAATACCGATCCACCCTGCTGGCCTCAGAAATGCTATACCTCAGACAGAGCCTCACCACCCTGCTCACCAATAAACAAGCGCGTTCCACTACTCGCGAAGTAGCTACTCGCAAACGGCCTGGATCCATTGCGTCGAGGCAAACAGGCTCCATTGCATCGCACAACGCTCGTTTTCGATGACGTTTGCGAGTGGGCACTCTGCGTGCAATCGAACGCGCTCGGTGCACCGAGGCACCACGGCCCAGCCGTGGTGACGAGGACTTTGCAGGACGGGCAGCGGCATCTTTACCTGTTCCTCCTCTGACCCAATTCCGCCTCCTCCCCCTCCTGGCCATCGCTCGGACGTCCATTTCCTCGATGATCAAGGATGCTCCTCGATGATCAAGGATGCCAAGCCTCCGTCCCTCGAGCAGCGATGGAGCGACCTGAGCCGAGCCAGGCATCCGTCCCCCGCGCCGAGGGCGCGGGCCGTC